GGCAGTGTGTGTGTATGTGTGTGGTGGGCAGTGTATGTGTGTGGGTGGGGGGCAGTATGTGTATGGGTGGGCAGTGTATGTGTGTGGGGGTGGGCAGTGTGTGTGGGGTGGGGGCAGTGCGTGTAAGGGCCTGCTTACCTGTACAATCTGATGTTTTCTCACTCCATCTCATGAAGCAGCACTTGGCAGGCCAGGATCCTCTTCTCACCCTCCATTCACGCTGTAAGTGTGCTCCATGTGAGAGGGAGCAGGGGGTGCTGTCACTTCCTGTCCCGCCTCCCAACTTCACATGGAGCACTGAGCAGGGAGAGAGAGGAGACCTGGCAGTGAGAGCAGGAATGCTGCCAGGCCTCTCACTGAATGGGGGGAATTATTTACAGTGATGATGGCTGGGAGTGATGGGTTGCAGGGGCCCTTAGAGTCATTATGGGCCCCTGCAACCTTCCTTCTGACTGTGGAGATCTCTGATCTCCACAGCAGAAGCATGGCTGTGCTGCCGTGCCCCCTGACTGACTTGAGCCCTCGGTCCATGACCGATCTGCCCGACCGGTCAGTCCGGCCCTGCCCTACCCCCACCACTAACCCTAAGGAAAACCTGTAATATTCATTCTGATATTAGAAAATGGTTTTCCTAGTTCACAATAGATTGTGGTTTGTGACCGCCATCTGCTGGCTGTTTTCATAATTACATTCAATGTAATTATAAATATAGCCTGATTGCAGCCAATTACACTGTGATCGGTGCTGGCAGCTGACAGAGGAATTTAACCCTGCTAACACCCTAAATGCATTTAAGATCATTCTAGTTAGGATGTATTGACATGTCCTTATGTTCTTAAAGTGTTAATCTATTTTTGTTCTTAGTGAACTGTTCCTGCTTTCATTTTCCTCCATCACTATCTTTGTTTTCTTTGTGTATAGATCATTTTTCTGGTTGGCAGAGGGTGTGTAGGGCCAGATCTAAGCAAGCTGTATAAAAGTTGTCCCAAAGCAATGAAAAGGTTGGTAGCTGATTGCTTGAAGAAATTAAGGGATGACCGACCTCTATTCCCACAAGTAAGTTACAATCCCGATTAACAGTCTCATTAACAGTTGATAGTTGCTCCCCCAACTCCACCAAGGGTTAACCTTGGTCAATTCTATATCCTCATACACTGTAAGTTTGAGCAGGGCCTTTATCCCCTCTTTTCTCTGTTAAAATTCTGAATGTGTAATTTTGTCAAATATCACCATTCTTTATTTGTGAAATGCTGAGAGACTTGGAATCAAGAACTGTGGAGTGTCTGAACCTGCCAAATCCAACTCCCATGCAAGTCTGCCCAGCACCTCACTCCCATGGGGAGAATGTCAGACATGCATTCAAGCCAGTAGCATTGAAGTATATTTGAAGGGAGGGATGGCCCAGGCCACTGTGAGACCTTGGAAGAAACAGGACATGTCTAGCAACCCTGGGGCACTTTCCACCAAAGATGAAAGAACCTGTAGTAGAGTGTAGGAATTTTAATTCAGTGTTTGACACTGGAAGGACCTGAAGGGAAAAAAAAGCCCCCTAAAGAGGAGGATCATTTTAACAGAATAGTTACACCATATCGAAGGATTGCACACAACATTTGAAACAATAGGGGGTAATTGGTCTCATATAGTGTAGTGTGATCCACAGTTAGCTTTATACCCAGGTACTTTAGCAAGTCGGAGGAGATTTGCAAACAGAATCCCAAAATAGGCTAGAAAGCTCCACTGGGGAAAGCAAAAGGGGTGTGGCCTAACAGAGGGTTCCGACTGGAGGAGCAGCTCCAAGGACAGCACAAACAAAACTGTCTGCCAGTGGGAAGGAATTAAGTGAAATGCCTGTAATGAGAACTTGTGCCTTGTGGTGTGAATAAAGGTCTCCTACCACACAAAGGAATAGAGTCAACAAGTCTCCCAGTAAGCAAAAGAGATACCGTCTATCCACTCTACTGGACACCTTCTCTGCATTCAGGGAAAGGAAAGAGAAGGCATCCTCCTGTTCGTTGCTACCCAGAGGAGAACAACACCGCACTTATTGTACGCATGGTGTTTAGGCACCCATTGTACAGTGCTACGGAATCTGATGGCGCTATATAAATAATAAAATAATACAACCAACCTGATCAGGGTGGACTAGATTGGGAAGGAGAGATCGGAGATGCTTGATGAGGACTTTAGAGAAGATCCTTAGATCAGGATTAATAAGAGAAATGGGACGACAGCTGGCAGGCGACAGGGGATCATAATCTCTATGGGAATCTTAATTATGTTCGCTAGGTTAGAGGCTGGTGCAGGGCTGAGCCCACTCTAAACTCATTAAATAATGCACCCAAACTTGAGACTAGGGTCTCCCCGAATGTATTGTAATATACTAAAGGGCAGTCCTACAGCTATCTTTTGTTCGTGAGTGGTAATCCCAGCCCCCTAATAACGTATTTATCACACTCATCAGTTCTTTGTTGTGGGGAGTATTACAAGTTGTCTTTTTGTACAGGCTACTCGGGCAATTGGAAGTCGTCTGGGCTGTTTTGTATTGGTTTGAGGTTATCTGTCTGTCCCCTAGTTTGTTGGGAATCTTTTTTTTCTTTTAAATATTTATTTATTCTTTAGGCTACTGCTGTAATATTTTATGTGCTGTTTTCTCTTATTGATTTTCAAGAACATTCTTCTCTTTTCATTTTAAATTGAGTTTCTTATCATTTCATCACTTTTATTATTTCCTGTCTTAACTTTTAGCATTTAATTTAAAAAAAAAAAAAATGGTCTGGGGGGGTTGAATGATTACTGTCCACCCACTTGTCCATATGGTGAGGATATTACTCAAATAAAGCGGGGGGCCATTGTGCCTCACCCCCCTCCCCTCTAATGTGGCTCTAACTAGTGTCCTCCCCTGCTGTTGTATTGATTAAAGCCACAGCTAATTGTTCCAGTAGGTCAAATTTGTATTTCCTGAATTATCTATACTTTGTTTACCCATGCTTTGCTGTGGCATGTGTGTATAACTCCTAAATCATGAGGAGTATGGGGGTGATGTTGCATGAAATTGTGGCCTAAATTTCCTATAATCTTGTATCATGGAAGGTTCATGAAACAAACCAATAGAACTACACACTCTTATGTCTTCTAAACCATCCACCAAAATAACATTTGGATAACATTAGCAACGCATCATGTTCCACAAAGGGACTGGGTCAAAAAAATATTTGCCCGTCTTCTATATCTTTGGATAGTAGATATTTTTGTAGACTTCAGTATGGGTTACTATCTGATACTTTTTTTTTTTTTTTGTATTGGTAATGTGTACTGTGCTGCAAATCGAAGGATGTCATTAACCATTTTTTTTTTTAAAGATCCTTTCCTCCATTGAGCTGTTACAACACTCGTTACCTAAAATCAACAGAAGTGCATCAGAACCTTCGCTGCACCGCGCAACACACACAGAAGACATTAATTCGTGTACAGTGACATCGCCAAGATTGTTTTGAAAGACTTGCTGCAGCGCTTGCATGTTAACTAGTTCTCACAAGTTTTGAAATAAGCTGAACTGCTTTGTCCTCAAAAAGGACTCAAATTATCCCTTTGATATTATTCTTAAGGAAACGCTGCTATTGTTGCATTTCTGAGGTCACAATATAAATGTACATCTTTTGTATTTTTTTATTTTTTTTCCAATTATTATGGTATTAGGAATGTACACCATTTTTTTTCTTACAGTGTGTGTCATGCTAATGCCATGACATTTTTAGCTGGTCACATTTTAACTTTGCATTGCAGCTAAATTGTAAGGGTATATATATATGTTTTAATTTTAGTGATGTGCCATATACAAGTATGGTGGTTGCAGCGGGTTCATACAACAAGCATTGTGGAAGTGCCAAGATGAACTTGTAACTTGCAGTATGAAGTATCAAGTATATAGCTTAACCTATACATGTGCTAGACATTTGTGCTGAGCTATGTATAGACTGAATTATGTAACTTGATTTGAAGCATATTTTGTGGATGACCGTCCACTTTAATAGACTATTTTGCACAGATCTATAATGCTGGAGGAGGCAGTGAAAGATTTAATCCAGTTAGGTTTGTACACAGAAACATGGCTCAATGTGCATTCAAAAAGTGCATTGCTTTTGGTACTTTAATATGTTAAATGTCTCCACTGAGGAAGCTAAAAAAATGCTTATCCCCAGCTCCTTCACATAGCAGTCACTCTTTGTCTGTAGATATACTTCTTTGTTTGTAATCAGAAAATCTGCACTATAAAAGGGAGCCTGTGTGCAGTCCTTGTTTTTGGGCTTTAATTTAATTTTTTTTTTTTTTTTTGAGGAAATGCATTTATGTTCGTATAGTTTTAATAATGTTTGTTAAATTAAATGTTTTATTTCACATTTGTTGTGTAATTAAAACTTGAGAGGACTGATCACAGGACCTCTTCTTACATCATCTTGTAGTTAGGGAAAAACTGCACATACACTGTGTTACAATTAAAAACCAACCCCAAAAAATGTGTCTTGTGGCATGTATTTGCAAAATAGCAGCCAAATACCATTTTAGTGGTCACGAATTGGTTATGTTCAGTGAATGCAAGCTGTTATGCTCTTTATGAAAAGCATTCATCTAAATGTAAGTCTTTATTCAGATACTGTCTCATGAATCTTAGTACAGCAATAAGATCCAATTAGAGATCAATTTGGCTCAATTCCGCTAGCATTCAGTTTGATAGTGAATAACAGAGATATTTTCTCAACCACATGCTAGAGAATGGTGTTAAATTTAAAGTAGCCAAATTTGCTTTATTAAACTTGGTGTTTAGTGAATAGACTTTAATTATGTTACTACTGATTTTCCTCATAGTATTAATGCTTTAAAGAGGTTTTTCTTTTGGTTAGTGTTTCATCATGTAAAAAGCAGCTTATTTGCATAAAATTTTATTTTCCCCACGTATAGTAGCAGTACTGCAAACAATGGGTAGTGTCTCCTTAAGTTGGACAAGAAGCTCTGTGGATTTAAATATTTAATTCCCGATCCAGCCTACTTACTATAATATTCTGCTTCTCTAGAAGTCCTCAGTTCTTCTAGTCCCCGCATCAGGACGGACAGGCCGCTCAGTGGTGTAGTTTAAGAGGAGGTGAGGCATACAGGATGCTGGCGGGGAAAAGCGGCGTGAAAGCTCCCCAGATGGAGAGCTGAGCGGATGAGCTTCCATTCTATGCGTTACGGAATGCAGGTTAGGAAGCACTAATTTTATGTGGACGTCCTAGGCAGACCTCCAGTCTATATGCAGGATAGATGCATGCGCACAGCAGTGGAACACATTCCTGGCAGGCGTTGCATTTAACTGAAGTTCCGACTGCTACTGCACATGTGTAGATCGGAACTTCAAAAATTTGCGCTAAATTCAAAACAATTTACCCTATAAAGCTGTGCTATGCCCTTCTGACACCAGGAGTGTTTCCCAGAAATGTAATATATTTATTTATTTCTCTTATTGGGAAAAAAATCTACATTTTTTTGCAGAATATGTCCAGTCCTGTCTCTCTTGATAAAGCTGAGAAAGATAAGATGTCCGCTCCAACGCCTCGAAAAGCCACATGTAAAACCAAACATATGAGTTGTATTGAATGTGCAGACGCTCTTCCAGACGGATGCAGGAAGAAAACTTGCAATCCATGGTCTGCCGGACTTTTCTAGAAACCTCCGCAAAAATAAATTACTTATTTTTTTAAGCTGGTTTCAGGATCTATCACAAATGTTTGAGTCTTTTAAAATTACGGTAAAGGACAGCAAGACTGAAGAGGCAAGTCAGAAAACGTAAAAGACAAAGAGCCTCTTTAATTTTAGAACCTTCGTTTTACTTAATGTTTTATTTAAGCGATATCCGAAGCATTCAGTTCTGCCTCAAGTGTGGAAGGTAGTTTCCCACCAGAGGAACTAAAAAAATTCATCAAGAGGTTTTGGCGGTTTTACAGGAGATGAACCTACCAAGGGTAAGTTTGAAGGTTTCCTTATGCATCCCAGAGAGAGTAGAGAAACTCAGAGAGACATGCGTTTATTTCTAAGCACTGTAAAAAAAAAAAAAAAAAAAAATATATATATATATATATGTTTTAAGGCCATTTGGCCTGTATTTGTGGGAGGGGCTTAAATTAATTCACTCCCCTATATAAGGGACACCCCTTACCTGACTCATATCGCTTGAGGTCAGCATCAGAATGATTTCCACTTCCGGGTCATCCAGACGCCATTTTACCTGATTACTCCATGAGGTTTTCTAAGCTGAGCTGTGTCAGGAATCCAGCCACAGGCTTTTCCGGCCTTCCACCTTCTTTCTTCAATCTATCGCTGTGGATGGTGTCCAAGTGACTCACAAACCGTAAGTCGACCTACCCGTTACGCCAGGCACCAGTCCCACGGCACCATGCACGGGTCAGGTCCTCACTTTACGGCTGCATTTTGTCTAAATCTGTCCTAAAACCATTGGATGTTCATGCATATCATTCGTTTAAACTCACTTGTTTATATCTGTCACTGGCTCATTTCGAGCATTAGCATACTTCCAAACGGGAACACATTCTGTTTCAATTGCCTAAACATACTAGGCAATTCTGTGCGTGCATTTCGAATATCACTGCTCGTTTCGTTTTGTTTCCCTGACATACCAGGCTCACGGTTCGTGCAATTTTCTACCAAACGGGTAATAGTTCATGCATTTACTATTGTACTACACACACGCTTCGTGCGTTTACAACCCACGAACAGAACTTTGGTTTGTTACAATGACTGTTATTAAGCTATTATGTTCACTTATTGTATATTGTCAAACGGGCACTTTGTTTCCCTGTCACACAACTATAATGCTGGGGCATAGCTCACAAACAATGTTTCACATAAACCACACTGACCCCTACAGGTCACTCTCAAAATCTCACGTTAACCTTGCATTTGGATTAACCCCTTAAGGACCAAACTCTGGAATAAAGGGAATCATGATATGTCACACATGTCATGTATCCTTCAGGGGTTAAACGGTATTTTACCATACAATCAGCATTTCTGACCCTACTGGTCAACAGCAAAACTGTCTTCACATGTCATATACAATTACCAGCCAATATAAATTACACATAAGATTGTTTTAAACATAACCATAAACCATAAATTAAACTCCAACACAGGCTCAACTTCAGGTTTAATTCACAATAATTTACATTTCATATTAAGACTAACAGTGGTTCTATCAACACTGCCACCTACAGGTCTGTCAAGTACATTGACAATTGTCATGGGGTTTTACAAACACCAAAACACTGACCCCTATAGGTCAACAGACAAACAACATTTCACATACCAATCAGTATCAACTACACTGCCACCTATAGGGCACTCGGCAGATCTCCAGTGCACTTGCATTTTGCAACTCCATGTTCACTTGCCATTCAATAAGGCATACAACAATTCACATAGCAAGCAGTATATCAATATCTGTTATAAATACACATATTACACAGTAGCACACGCATCTGTATATACGTAACTGGTAATATGGTTCACTTACATACGGCACTTAATGGGTTAAGATTGATACATATTTAACCAGTATGGATATGATGTTTAATATTTACATATCACGGCACTTTACTTTCACATATACTGTATGCTTTAAGATAAGCTTGGTCTATGCCATATTTCCTTATGCCATACGATTTTATCCATTCAGGTTACAGTTACTACTAAAAAACCTATACAGATTGTCAGGTTCAATACCAACTACCAGGTACGTACACCTGCTCATGTAGTTATTCATCTCTTACCTTCCCTGGAATAGTAATAGTGTACCGGCAATTAGGGTTCTAGGGCCCAATAGGTATTACCCCTTTTTTCTCTGCATTATGCTTCGGTTAGTGGTCCCGCGAGGCCAACACCCCGCCTCACACTAGGAGGCATACACCCCTCGGGCCACTCGTGAGCTAGCTGCCTCGCATTGTATCATAGAGAGGGCCTCACCTGTCACTCCCCTTCCTATTTTTCTGGTTACTGTCACCGAGAGGCCAACATCCTGCCACAACGTTCGGTGGCCACACGAAATCCCCTCGCGCCAAGCATAGATAGAGCCTCTCAAGCCACTTGGCAACTCGCAGGGCCTCACCAGTCACCAAAAAACACCAAGCCTAATCGTTGCGCCTTACGGCTTAGCTAGCATGCCGATACAAGACCCCTGGGTACAAATATATAATTGCAATCTTTATTGATATTTAAGTATTTCTCAAAAAGATGGTAAAGAATCACCTCTTCCTAGCACCACGGCTAGAAGTGATACACCTTCATCTCTTACCTTCCCTGGAATAGTAGTAATGTACTGGCAATTAGGGTTCTATGGCCCAATAGGTATTACCCCCTGTTTTCTCTGCTTTACGCTTTGGTTAGTGGTCCCGCGAGGCCAACACCCCGCCTCACACTCGGAGGCATACACCCCTCGGGCCACTCGTGAGCTAGCCGCCTCGCATTGTATCATAGAGAGGGCCTCACCTGTCACTCCCCTTCCTATTTTCTGGTTACTGTCACCGAGAGGCCAACATCCTGCCACAACGTTCGGTGGCCACAAAAAAATCCCCTCGCGCCAAGCATAGATAGAGCCTCTCAAGCCACTTGGCAATTAGCAGGGCCTCACCAGTCACCAAAAAACACCAAGCCTAATCGTTTCGCCTTACGGCTTAGCTAGCAAGCCAGTACAAGACCCATGGGTACAAATAATAATTGCAATCTTTATTGTTATTTAAGTATTTCTCAAAAAGATGGTGAAGAATCACCTCTTCCTGGCACCTCGGCTAGAAGTGATACACCTTCAAGCAGAGGAGATGTGGCTCCGACCTAAGGAGGCGACAAATCCCCTACCCTGCCACAGCAAGGAAAGCAGAGTTATTCAAACTCCTCCATACATCAACGGACAACACGGAAGCAGGGGAAGGCCCAGCAACACCAACTCAGGTGACACCCAGGCCATGCTAGCCTCACTCATAAACTCATGAGCCAAAAAATTTACGACAGACTGGCAATCTCGAGTCAGTCACAGCCCTCACAAGGCTGGGCCTCACGCTACTGTACAACCAGCACCAACCGAAACTCGGTTACTTGGTTCAAGACGTTAACCTTGCACATATGATCCCGGCACATTGGGGAAACAAGGCATATATATGTATGATGATGTATCTATGATGGTCAGACCCAGGGATTCTAGGTAAATCGGGAACTGACCATCCCTTGGTTGTGCTGGCATTTGGAATATGTAGAGATGCTTATTTGTGCAGGTACCCATCCAGAAGGGATTTTCTCCCAAACAAACGGGCGAGCACTCTCAGGCTCCAGGTACCAGCACCTCTGAACTACCAGAGACAATTGGTATTAGTAGTTGCATTGCATATAGACTGTTGCATATATGTTCAAATCATTCAGGGCACATGACAAACCATGTGTCCCAATACAACTTACAAATAACGTACTCACCATCTGTACACACCAATGCATTTCAACACTACTGACTCATCACCCTTCCAGACTTGTAGTAGATTTACTAAGGCTCTGGAGCTTCAAAGGGCTCCCATACAGGTATCATAAATAAACTCAAGGAATATAGTATGCCCTCACTTACAGTCAGCACAACAGAACCGTCGGCTGTAAACACACTCATAGCCAAGATTTGCAGAGGGGTTTTTACTTGGGTTTTCCAATCTCCACCATTTACAGCATGGCACCAAACACAAATGCATTGGTATTGTCACAAGGGAATCTTCCCTTAAACAAAGACTAACCATAGACTTATTGGCACCACACACCTTCGCTACCCCAAGTCTCAACTCCCTCATACCCTCCGAGGAGTTTCCTTACTATACACACCATTGATCTACCTTTACAGCTATCACTCAAGCATGGGTTGAAGCTTCGTTAAGTAAGACCAATATCATCAACACAGTAAACTGCTACCATCTACCCTACAAACTGGCACTTACATGGCATAAAATGGGCAATCCTTTCCCCGCTAAAAGCAGCTGCTGTGGCATGGGGTAAATCATGGTCAGGGTCATCAATCCGTTGTTACTCAGACAACTAAGCACATGTCATATCATCAACAAATGCCACTCATCATCCATACGATCATGGTATTGCTGGGGAACTCACTTGGTTGGCCACTTACCACATTTCTTTTACTTTCATGTACCAGGCGGGGGTATACATCCTTGCCGACAATTGTCTCATTTATATTCCAGGCACGTTCATCATACGCTTCCTACAGCCGCCCATACAGTCACGGCCACTCTTTCGTTCCAGAGACAAAATCATGGATTAGACATACTCATGCAGCATAGCATGCACTATCCCACCTAGCACTTTCATCCCATACTTGTAGAACGCATAACACCTATTCACCTGGCTTTAAAGAATCTCATTGGAACACGACATAGCTCAACCTGTGTCATAACATTTCTCCTAGGTTTTGCTTCATTTTTTGCCACCTTAAACTAAAACCATCTCACACACCATTAATTATATATTTTACAGGCATTCAACAACACAGGATAACCTATGGCCAAAACTACCATAACTTCATGCTATCATACCAGACAAGAATATACTCAGAGGTTTTCAGGAATCCATCCCCCCACGTTCCTCTCAGATATTACCAATAGCCATCCAACTTTTCCATACTTATCGGACCTATTAGAGCTACAACCATTCAATTATACTACCAAGTTGGCCATTACCACCATGCACACTGCCTTTTATGCCTTTCTCAGGCCAGAGAATCCACTACCATAACCACCACTCAAACAGATCATTGTCTTCAACGATCCCACGTATGTAAACACATATATCATTACCTATTGGCACTACCACATTCCGAAACGAGTCAACACGCACCAACAGTAGAGATAATATACTATCCTACCCACAACAAATGGTGTCCAGTTGCGGTCCTAGATTCCTACCTTCAAAAATCCTTCCAGGAATTAAATACCGTAATGCATTTAAGGAAATGTCTGGTTAATTTGTATATATTGTTGACTGTATTAAATCTTTGATTATTCTTTTTGCCCTCTTTATTTACAGGCCTACCGTATCGTCGGTCTCGGCACACCACAACCGACTTGCTCCCTTTATACTATCCTACGCTTATGCTGGAACCTTACTCCATATACGGCTATTTGCCCCGAACACAAGTTTTAAGGCCATTTGGCCTGTATTTGTGGGAGGGGCTTAAATTAATTCACTCCCCTATATAAGGGACACCCCTTACCTGACTCATATTGCTTGAGGTCAGCATCAGAATGACCCTCCCACCCACTCCTCATTTCAACACTTTCTCTTTTCTTTCCATTTACTTTACTTACTTACTCCTTGGTGGGCCCTCTTTATTTACAGGCCTACCGTATCGTCGGCACACCACAACCGACTTGCTCCCTTTATACTATCCTACGCTTATGCTGGAACCTTACTCCATATACGGCTATTTGCCCCGAACACAAATATATATATATATATATATATATATATATATATATATATATGTGTATATATATATATATATATATATATAAATTGCAAAAGTATATTTCCAAGTGGCACAGTTATCCACGATAACCACAATCCCTATAGAAGAGGTATCCAGCTTAAAGGATTATATGGACAAATGTGGTGAAACATCTAGCAGATGTATATTTTAAGTTGCAGGATATTGGTGTAAAGCGACAATTTTTAGTTCAAAGCATATGGTTGCAGACTTTAGAGGACATTCTGATGGGTAAATCAGACCCATCACAATTACATTATCTGTTAAGACTTCCATTTGGGAAAATAAGCCTTTTGGTACTCCATTGGATAAAATCATTAAGCAGATGTTAGAAACCAAAAAAGCCATACCACAGGACTCTAAATATTCTGGTGGCCAATCTAGCAGAAGGTTTCAGTTCTGTGGACAAAGAAATTTCACAGACAAGTAAGAGACACCAAGTTAAGGGATTCTAATAAACAGAATAAGAAAAGAAGATATTGACGAAAAGTGTTGGAGGTCGGCTCCGGTACTTTGTTTAAAAATGGAAGGAAACTAGGTCAAACAGATGGATTCTGCAGACTATTTCAGAAGGATATAGGATACAATTCTCTGCTCAACCAACCAATCATTCCCTAACTGGATGACCTGTATTTGGCAGAATCAAAACATTAGGGGGGCAGGGTCTGACTGGCATGGTGCTAATGGAAATCTCTCACAACTGACTTATTGCTACTAAATCTGACTCCTTATGACCCTTATGATTTACTGCAATCCTGGGGCTACTACTCTTTGCTTTTGTCACCACTTTCTCCAGTCAGCATCCCACTTGGGCAAGCCTGTGGCGTAGTTGTGGCCTGCCTGCTATACAGGAGTGAGAGAGGAGGCCGTTCCCTCTACCCACAATCTACCATAGAACACTCTGGGTGAAATACCCTGTTTCTTCCCCCGCCCCCCCCCCCTCCTCCGCCGGTGAGAGATATCCCGGCACTCTGATCCACGGAACTCATGCGCCTTTTCGAGGCGTTGGAGCGGACATCTTATCTTTCTCAGCTTTATCAAGAGAGACAGGACTGGACATATTCTGCAAAAAAATATCACTGGAATTGTCCTGTGCACACCATAAATCTGACAAGGTTAATTATCGGTACCCAAAATGGCGACTGAGCACGACTCTATTTGGCCCCAGCATTTGACGGCATCTGTAAGGCCGCCTGGCAATGTGCTGAATCTGCGGCACCCTTAGTCTTGTGGAACACGCAAAGTGCTGAGGCTACCAAAGCCGCTACTGATTACCTCTCTCTTCCTCAAGGGGTTGGATAGGTCCTTGGAGGAACAACCTGGCCTGCGACGATGTCCACCTGGTCTTCGTGGGAGGCAGATCACTGGGGAGCTCCTATATGACCAGCGCTTATACACCCGAAAAGCGCATGCGAAGCGTTGCTCGGTGGTACTGCTCACCACCCTGGTCTAACACTCTGACCTCACCAGGGACTGCTCCACTGCAAACCAGTCTCTGCAGGATCTGACTGGGGCACACCCGCCTGCACTCCCAGAGCAGTTGGAAGCAGCTCTCCCTGGCACTACCTGCCACGTTTATAAAGCTGGCCTCAAGAGGAAGCATTGGCTTATGGACATGCCGAAACTAGAGTTGCCTACTTGAGCAGCATTCTATTGGCCATGCCATTTGGACCAAGATGCCATAGCATTTATCTCATCTACCAAGATCCACATAAGAGTTTTAGTGCCAGTGATTCTGAGTTTTAGTGCCAGTGATTCACAACCCCAGTGATTCTGCTTGGCTTTATATTTACTTTCTATATATCTATACTTGTCTCAGCTAGTACGGTCTGTTATTATAGCTTGAATAACCTCCAGACCAGCTAATCTCACACTGACTTAACATGATTATTACATTTGTATAACCACTACTCACATTGTCTTGCAGCTCTTCCTGATTTTAGTGTCAAATTAGCTCAGCAGTTAGACATGTATATCTAGCCTAAGCATTGTCTTAGAATGATCCATATTTTCTGATGAAAGATCGGTTTGAGCCTAATGTTACAGACAAGTATACTTAGCCTGTCATCAAGCATTTGAATAGCTTGTTTTTATTATTTTTCTAGAAAAGTGCAAGACCTCTCAATGCCTTACAGTGTCGTGATATGTCTGTTGTTGAAACACTTGCCCTGATGTTGGGGGCATGGCAAGCCTGTATGTAACCCATTGCACAAGGGAGCCTTGAGGGTGGGGGCACCCTCAGGGCACTATAGTGTCAGGAAAACTAAGCGGTTTTCCTGACACTATAGTGATCCTTTAACTATAATAAATTAAAGGGGCCATAGTCATATGGTAAACGACTGGCAAGTAGTCCCCTCCAAATCCCAGTGACGAAGTGGCTTTCGCCACATAAACTTATATGGGAAAGCCAATGCTACAAAAATTCCTTTTCTCACTATGGCTCTCGATGGGGAGAAAGCTTTTGACCGAGTTAGCTGGGACTTTATGAGAACAACTTTAGAGGGTTTATGGGTTTTTCGGGACGGATTCTTTAGGCAATTATGGCCCTTTATCCCTCCCCATCGAGCAGGATAGTGGGAGAGGGAATTAGGTCTGAATGGTTTGATATATATTAAATGGCACTCGCCAAGGCTGTCCACTTTCTCCACTCCTCTATATCCTAGTGGCCGAACCATTAGCACATGAAATTCATTCAAATTCAAAAATAAGGGGCTTTCAAATTTAAGATTAATCAATATGCGGTTTATACTTTATTAACTCTAGCGAACCCTATCTCTTCAGTACCAGAAGTAATGAATATAATAGATCAATACAGCCTTCTTACAATTTATAAACTTAATGTCCAAAAAACGGTTGTATTACCCATGTATTTAGAAGAAAAAGATTATCTTTTTCTAAATAAACACTACACCTTTAAATGGGAAAAGAAGGGTTTTAATTCTCTTGGCATAAATATTGTATACGATCCCTCTAACATAATGAAGGCCAATTTAATTCCATTAATAAGAAATTACTCTTTTTTTAAAACAATGGAGTACACTAGAAATATCATGGTGGGGTAGACTTAACTCTATAAAAGCCTTTATTTTCCCTAAGATAATCTATTTACTAAGAATGAATCCGATGCCTATACATCCTTACTGGCTGACTCTTATAAATAACATTTTTAGAAATTATACTTGGCTGAATAATATGGCATAAATTTCTTCAATGGTGTATACAGAAAAATTGTATCTCAGATAATCCTTCCATCCCTGACATTCTCTCTTTTTTACAAGATGGTTTCCAGACAGGTCTTAATGTGTCAACCCTCAAGGTCCAGGTCTCGGCTTTGAGTCATTTTCTTGTTCGTAATTTGGCTTCCAATATCCTTAGTCATAGTTTTTTTGACAATCTTTATTTTGATACAATATGCACAAGTTCACAAAACTTCAATAACATTTTCTCTCAATCCGTACATAAAAAAATTCAATAATATGATTTATTGGGAAATAGGATTAACATTAAAAAACGAACAGTGCTTAAGAAGTGTGTGTTAGATATAGTTCAACTTTATAGTAGCCTATCTTTACCCTTTTCCTTTACTAAACTTCCACTATCTACCTTCTTCCCTCTCCCTCTCCCCCTTCCTTTTCCTCTCTTGGTTCTCCCTCCCTTCTTTCCACTTCCTTTCTCCTTTTGTTGTCAGTTTTTATGTTATTTTTTCTTATTTGCTGTATCTTGTAATCTATCCGAAGATATGGCTATACACCCAAGCTTAAACACCGTACACCGAGTTATAACAGTATTGTCGTATCATCTGTAGTTAGGCTGTTATCAATAAGTCCCTCAACTGTTGAACCCCTCCCTCCCCATGAACCCCTTAACCGTGTATTTTAACCATATGTGGTTCCCTCTGGATTTAACCGGGGGAGGAGAGAGAGAAGATTGAAAAAAAAATACTGGCTTAGTTCCAACTCCTCACTGGCAGTGCCTCCATCTGTGTAGCACCCCCTTCTGTTTGCTTACCACTCTCTTTCTGGCTGTGTGCAAGCCCCTCCCCTAACTGAGCTACTGCCTATATCTTACTTGCTGTTTGCACTTAGTTGTCCTCCTTCCAAGGTGGCTACATGCTGTAGCCAGGGGGTTCACGTTTTAACAAATGTCACTGACCTATCATTTTGGGGCGGCTGTATCAAACTCACCCATTTTGCCATGAGTTTTTGTAGGGGGCTGCTTGCCCCTGGGATTTATTGCCCTTTAAGAACGTATTTGGGCATAATGGATTTTTGTGCTGCTACTGGCCCTTTAAGCACAGCGTATGGACTTCTATTGGACTGTGCATGCCCCTTTAAGACGGTGTCCCCAGACTTGTTGGGTACAATGCCCCTTTAAGACGGTGTCCCCAGTGTCCCCAAACCTTTAATACCACATGGTTCAGTAAATGGGGCTTAGTATTACACAGGCGGACCACCCAGAAGTGGAAGCGTGCAGCTAATTTACCTCCCAGGCTGGGAGCCTTCTGTAAGTAAATTGCCGGCTGCTGGGGGCCGCTGTTCATACAAACGAACACGTGGTGGCGGCGGCCATCTTTATTCTGACGAACACCGCTGACCCTTACCTTCTACTCCACTGTGTTTGCAGCTGCAGAGACTAAGTCCCGTTCGGTGATGGGACTTAGTCATTTTTTCAGTGTGAAATAGACCGATCGCACAGCCCAAATCTATGGAACTGTTTTGGGCATGAAAATGTGCTTGCGGTCGGTCATAAAGGACTTCCAGCTAACTTTTTAACCCCTGGAAGGAATTGGCTGAATTTTGGATATGTGTGTAATTAAAGTGTGCTGGGTATTAATATGTAACTTTTATGAAGATTGATTGTATATTTTTAAAGTTACAGTACATGTGTAAAAAGTGTATTTTTCCTGCCTGTGATAATTACTTTAACCCATTGTGTTCAGTAATTGTATCACAAGCATAGGGGAGGATTTGTGTGTAATTGCTGGGAGTGTTTTACTATAATGTATGTATTTTATTGGTTGTTTTACAAAACCCTGTGGGCGGTACTATGTGTGTAGAATGGGCACAAAAGCAGAGTGTTTCATTAAAAGCTTCTGTTCTACCTCACCCTCAATTTGGACTCCTGTCTCTTATTGGGGGAATCTGCACAAAGGATTGCTATGTTCTGCATATTCCCTTGCTATAATCATTCCTAAGCTCTTTTAAGAGCTTGTACCTGCTTTGCTCTGAAGGAAGAGAGGTTCGGCCTGCGGTGGTTGTGGTGTCTGCTAAAGTGCTTGGAGCCCTCAGGAAGCGCTAGGAGGGGTCAGGGTACCCGTCGATCCATTACAGCGGCTATTTGCTCTTCCATCGCCCTGACCTCTTCTACCTGCTCCACCCAACTTTGGAATGTTGGGGCTTTGTGCCGCCTCCACAGGGCCTGGATCAAGGACCTAGGCGCAGTCAGTAGGTGTCATGTCAGGGACGTTTTGTGTTTGGAGGTGGGCATTGTTGTGTGGTAACATATGACTGGGGCAAAGTCCAGGTCTTTTCCAGTCACGTCTGTCAGTGTTTTGTGTACCCGTTTCCAGAATGGCTGACGTGCCCTGCATGCCCACCATACGTGGATCATGGTTCCCTTCTCTTTTCAACATCTCCAACACAGGTCCGAGGTGCCCGGTGTAATCTTATGTAGTCGATCTCGTGTCATATACTATCTAGTGAGTATTTTATAATTTCGTTTCCTGGAGTCTGGTGCTGTTGGAGCTGTGGTGCGTCAACATAATTATTTTTGACCATTGTGCTTCTGTCAGAGTTTGTCCTAGCTCTTCTTCCCACTTAGAGACATATGGGAGCGGGGTTGGGTTAGTCACCAGAAGTAGCATTTGATGTAATTAGGATATACCCCTGTAAATGGACTCTCTTCGAGCGCATAATTCCTGAAACTGTGTTTGAGTCCTGGTCAGGTTCTGCTTCGGAGTTATCGACTGGAAAAAGTGTTTCAGTTGGTGGAAATTAAATTTTTCTAGGAATGTTAGTATGACGGTCACCCCGAGTGAGGAGGGGTATCTACTGCCAGAGATGTCCTTTTCCCCTAGTCTGAGTAGCGCTGCAGTATTCTCCAGTTGATATCCAAGCAGACCAGGAATCTAATATAGTTGTAGAGCTCTTATAAGCTAGTGGTTATAGCAGTATAGTGGTTCCCTACAATCATGAGATGACGCTGCGTGTTGAGGGTTAAGTGAACTGGTTTAATGGTTGCCACACTGCCCTTTTATGCAAGTCCCCATGCAAGGGGCACTCCCACTGGACCTTGTTGGGGACTATAATACAAACTTAGAAACCACCTCTGTCTGGGAGATAATTGAGTCACTTACTGTATCAACTCAATTATCTCCAGGCAAAAAGAACATAATTTACAGACATAAACCCCATAAAAAGTATATCCCCCGGTCTGGATGAGCAACATTTCCAAAAATCACCCTGATCGGTTCAGGGGTTTGAGATTCGTATGGAAGTCTTATTTCTGACCGACCATACACGAAGCTCCTGCCCAGAATAGTTCCAAAGAATCTCTTTTGTGGGTTTCAAATACAATGAAATGTATGGGAAAAGCTAGTCTTTGTGCCCCTTCATGGGAAAGCTAGTCTTTGTGCCCCTTGTTCGGGAGTTGGTTTTCACCGAACTCCGCCTCTTTCGGATGATTTGGAACGAACCTAAGTGATCCTGGAAGTCTCAGCAGTGTTCGGGCTGTTGAGTGTCTGAAAATAGTTCCATACACTCTACGACCAAACACCGCTGGACGCGTTCGACAAAACAAGATGGCCGCCGCAACATGTTCGTACATACAAATCGACGGCCACCCAGTGAACCACTTCGCACATTCAGAGTTGCGGTTGCAAGTGTTAGTAAGGTCAATTGGCGGCACATGACTGCTTTGGGTGGTCCAAGTGTTCGGTACATGATTCGGTATACAAACCAGCATGGGAAAATCTGTTTGGTTGGGTTCATATACCGATCCAGGCAAAATAAAAGTAATATCCATGAACAGTATGTGTTACAGTTAGGATTCTGTCCCCCACCAACTCCTGTGTCCGCTTCAGTTGTCCAGCTGTCGTCACATCTCTCACTAGGATCGGGTGCTTATTATATAGAAGTCAAAATCATCCCCGATCGCATCCTCCCAGATAATCCGGGTTTGAGTGAGTGGGTACATTGGTCCCTTCAGTGTGGTTAAACCTAGCCGAAATCTGACCCCGTACCACATTTCTAACATGGGCCCGGCTGTAGAATGCCGGCGAGACTGAAGTGGGGTTTCAGCTCTGTCCAGTCACACCGCCCCTGGAATTGCACATTGCGAACTTTCTATCTCCCTGCCCGTCCACAATTTTGCGTTGCTATGCCACTCGATGATTCTGACTAGGTGAGCATGGCAGCCTGAGATATTTTATTCCCACCCTGGGTTTGTGTCCTTTCCAGACAAACTGTATGATCGCCGATGTTAATGTTGTGAAGAAAGCTTTGGGGACTATTATGGGTACAGCTCAGCACCTGCATTCCCAGATATTTTATCTGTGTGGTGTGTCATTTGAAGGGAAAAATATGGCTGCAGTCTTTCTGCCTCTTTTTTGTCTAATTTGATATTCAATATTTCTGACTTATCTTTGTTTATCTTGAGGTTGCTCAATCTTCCATACTGTTCCAGGTAGTGAGATGTGCATTTTTTTTTTTACCATAAACAGCATGTCACCTGCATATGCAGCGACTGTGTTCAAGATTTCGGGTCGTAGTCCTGAAATATTTGGGTTTTGCCGTATGGCCTCCAGTAGCAGTTCCAGAGTTAGTATAAATAAGAGTGGGAGAGGGGGCATCCCTGCCTAGTTGATGCTCAAGGGGGCTGGCAGGGCCCCATTGACCCGGACACTAGTCCTTGGGTAATTTGTAGAGTGTTTGTACCCCTGTTAGAAAGGTGTTTCCTAGGCCAATCTCTCGTAACACCGTGTTTATATACTACCAATCCACCTGGTCAAAATCCTTCTGCACATCTGCGGAGAGAAGCAGTAGTGCTTTCCTCCGGGACTGGGCCATCTGAATTGCGCTCAATACTCGGATGGCACCCCGGAACAAATCTGCTCTGGTCCGGGTGGATCAGCAGTGGGATTACTCTCACCAGTCGCGCCACCAGCATTTTTGCATATAGTTTCACTTCTACGTTGAGTAGCGAGATGGGTCTGTAACTGGAGCATGCTTCTGGGTCTTTCCCCTCTTTAGGCAGAATGGTGATGTGTGCTGTTAACGTATCCCTTGGGAAGGAGTCTTGTTGGAGTATAGCGTTGTAGGTCTTCAGGCGCTGCGGATGTAGAACCTCGCTGAAGATTTTATAGTACTTTAGTGTCTGGGCGATCCGGGCCAGGGACCTTCCCAGTTTTGGAAGTCTTTATTGCCTCTTGGAGTTCTTCGATTGTAAATGCAGCATCGAGTTTCTCAGCTATTTCTGGCGGGACTGTTTTCCATATTTTGTTAGCTAGATATGCCCGGATCTTAGCCCCGTGGTGCAGTCGTTCTTCTTCCGATTTCGGTGGGTTCAGATTATATAGGGCTGTATAGTAGGAGTGAAATTCCTTTGCTATTTTTGTAGGGAACTGGGTGCGCGTTTTATTCTTTTGTCTTGATCCTGGGAATCTGAAATGGTTGTGTAGGTTTCCTCAGCATTCTGGCCAGGAGCCTGCTGCATTTGTTTGCATGTTCGTAAAAAAAATCTCTTGGATTTTTGTAGTGTTAGATAGTTCTTCTGAATTAGGAGAGTGCGTAGCTGACGACACGATATGAGCAATTCTTTGTATACCTCTGTGTTTAGGTCTGCTTTAAGTTAACTTCTTTGTTCCTCTATCTTCTTAAGTAGTGTCTGTATTTACAATATGTGGAACACACTCCTTAAAATATCTAAAAGAATAAAAAAAACAATATAGTGTATAAAAAAAAAAAATTCTTTTCTGCATTATTCTTTTTTATTCTCTTTTAGATATTTTAAGGAGTGTGATCCACCTATTGTATGTATTGTTCTTGTGTTTATATTTGAGTGGTATAAGGGGTTTCCCACTCAGTTGATAGATCACACCCATATTGTCTTCACTTTATATATTGCACTTTCTTCATTAGTGTCTGTATTTGCCCGGCCTGTTCCCACTTTCGATGTGTACATAGTGATTAGTGATGCACCGAACGGTTCGCTGGCTAATAGTTCCTGGCGAATATAGCATGTTCGCGTTCGCCACGGCGGGCGAACATATGCGCGGTTCAATCCGCCCCCTATTCGTCATCATTGAGTAAACTTTGACCCTGTACCTCACAGTCAGCAGACACATTCCACCCAATTAGCAGCACACCCTCCCTAGCAGACCCTCCCACCTACTGGACAGCATCCATTTTACATTCATTCTCAAGCTGCATGCTTAGTGAGAGGAGGGAAAGTGTAGCTGCTGTTGATTAGATAGGGAAATGCACAGCTAAGTTACAGTGTCCACTACAGTCCTGAAGGACTCATCTGATCTCTGCTGTAAGGACAGCGCCCCAAAAAGCCCTTTTTAGGGCTAGAACATCAGTCTGCTTTTTTTTGTAATGTAATTGCAGTTAGTTGTCTGCCAGCTTCTGTGTCAGGCTCAAAATGGATACTGTGCCCAATGCCACCACTCACTCACTGGTGTCACAACAGCTTGCATTTAAAAACAAAAAACTTTTTTCACTGTTATAGATTGAATAGCAGTTAGTTGTCTCAAAGCGGGTGTGTCAGCCCTACAGCGTGTACTCTGCCAGTTCACAGTGCCACTCTTATCTGGTGTCACAATAGCGTGCATTTAAAAACCCAAAAACGTTTTTCACTGTTATAGATTGAATAGCAGTTAGTTGTCTCAAAGCGGGTGTGTCAGGCTCACAGTGGATACTATGCCCACTGCCACCACTCACTCACTGGTGTCACAATAGCTCGCA